TATATATATATATAGCCACACTGGATCTTTTTTTACTCAAATGAAATTTTACTATAAAATTTCTTGGTATAAATTTTAATTTTTCTTAAATAAAAGTTTTAACATTTGAATTAAATAACTATTTGGCAATATATAATAATAGAAATGTTGAAAAATAATTCCGACTTTTTTCTAGATTTTCTGAAAGCTTAGGAAACAGTAAAAAAATTTGGGATGGTCGAAAAAGATCCAGGCTACAAAGTAAAATAAAAATATGTGTGCCTACAAAGGATTAATTTAAAGAATTACATATTAATTATGTATATTTAAAGAATTACGTTCGAGATACGCAGGAAAGAATAAATATACATTACACATTAATAATATAATAAGTGATATAGTGATTTGGTTTCGACTTTAAGCAAACTCGTAACATAAAAGTCGCAGAGAAATATTTTTTTTAAATATTTTTGAAATATCTTGCATCTCCGATTCTTTTCCATTCCCTTTTTCATTCCTTCTTTACAGGGGGTTACGTAAATTATCACGTGGAAGGAATCCCGGAATTCTCAAGATAGACAAGACGAGAATTTTGACGTGTAATATCCTGTCTACGCTTCCGTGATTATCGTTTCATTTACCAAAGGAAGTCAAGCAAGCGAATCGGTTCGCACGACTTGCACATTTAACACGCGCCACAGCCGTTATGATGAAGAGGAACGGGTGTCGGCTGGGCCTGAGTAATTACGGACAAGCGTGATGCGCTTGCTCGCACCGTGCAATATTATTCATGTATGCATTGGTGCGCGTCAAAAGTTCTCGAAGATATTAGCGTAATCCGCCAGAAAATTAACGACCTGATTCAAAATGATCTTTCATCCTAATCCAACTTCCGTCCCTAGTTTCTGTATTCCTAGATGTGATATTAGCATCATGAAAAATAAAAATATTATTATTTTGTGAATTGAAGACGGAAGCATATTTGCATACAAGATTGCAGCGGGATTCCAGCAACAAGATAATGATCTCTTGGCAAGATGTAAACCACCGTCCGGAATCAAATCGTGCGGGTTCGTCGACCGGAAAATCGCTCCAGTTGATCTTCGCATACCGAGAGAAACCCGGACCAGGGGATGAAGAAGCAAATTAGTGGACGTGGAAGGGATCGATCTTTTTCTGGACCTGCCATCGTCCTCGGTCGCTCGGAATCTCGAGGCTCGGCTTTGGACCAGCCACGGGTACGAGCATCCGGAGCCACTTAATCACCCAATATTAATATCGCGGACAGTGCGTCGCACTTATCCGACATACATACCATCCTTCCACGTGCCGGGCTGTCCAGCCATATTTTTGGCAAGGTGGTGGATAAAGCGCGAATACGAATCCGTCGTGTCTGTCATTTGAATACGCATTGGTCAATCGCGAAGCATTACATATAATTGAATCACATTACTCGTCATCGTTGGTCTATTTATTAAAGTAAGCTCCACGTCCAGAGAGAACTGTTTCACTTATAACGTTACTCAGCAACAGGGGCTTACCGTTGATCTCTCAATTCCCTTGACGCTCAGCTTACTTAGCCAAGAAACGTTTATTTCACTAAATACCATTAGCTTTGGGGGAAAACCGGAGCTGATTGTCATACAAAAATAATTGTCGAAAAGCTTATGATTCAATATATAACAGGGCATTCTCTTTTTTTATTATAGGTTGCTGATATAATATTAGATTGTTGTATAAAATGATTTATGCCAAAAGCATTGTGTTTATTACGACTGTTAAGAAAATTAAATTGGCAAGTAAATTTTTCTTTTATATCCTTCCATCATTATTCAATAATTACAACTACCGATTCAGGTTCCCCTACTATTAATTCATTAGCGATTAAATTTGAAGTCTAATTAATAATTAATATTTTTTAAATTAATCTTATCGTTCCATTTATTTAGCAGCAATAATTATCTTATTATGGTAAAGTCTTAATTCAATTTTGAAGTGTTACGTGGAACTGCATCGTTGATCATTAATCAATTCAACATTCATCAAGTCATCAAATACATCTGGGTACGAGTAGTCAAATGCGGCATTAGTGCGCACGCGTGATTAATGATGATATTCTTCGTCATGTTAAGTAAACATTTAAGAATGACATATGTATTCATTGTTGCAGAAAAAAAAGGGGAAGTTGTATTCAAACAAAAATTTAAGAGCACATAAAACGTGCCAAATCTGCAAGGCGGAAGAATCCGTATCGTAAAATCTCAGCAGAGCAGCACACATTGCGCAGTAAAATCTGAGATTTATTTCCGCGCAGCAAATAGACGTTCCAGTCGACGTTTGCTCGACTATTGCTAGTTAAACTAATAATAGAAAATAGACTAAATAAACTAACTGCTGCGAAAATATTATGTCGATATTATTTACAGTTCGATCAACATTGAGAACAAGTTTGTTTTACTATATGCAGTTATACATTTAAAAAGATATATCTAAAATAAGTGGTCATTTCAAAAGCGCATTTTTAAAAAATTAATAAAAAATTTACCAAAATATCCATTTTTTTTCGAAAGATAATAAAAATATTTGTTATAATAAGATCCTTATTGTATAATTGTATAATTATTAATTAAACAGAAAAGTGAATACAAAAAAAACGCGATTTATACTAGTAAATAAGAAAATACTGCGTCATTCGAAGTAGAGCGAGGAAGTAGTGTGAGCTAATAATAAGTCAGACAATCCTACAAATTCTGTCCGCCATCGATAACAGTTAACGAGATTTAATTACTTAAAAGTTTTATTATTATTATCTCTTAATAGTGTTCTTAATAGTATTGTTAGTATAGTAATAGTCATAAATAATATTTATAATCTTTAAGTGCAGTAGTATGAGACAACATTAAGTCATACAGCTATACTCACTTGCTATGCATTGAAATTAAAATTATAAAATCTCTTCTTTTTCATAAATAAAAAAGCACTTTAACACTTTGTACCTTCGTATGAAATAGAAAAGCATTAAATTAGTGATAAACGCGATCCTAATTTTTATATTTTATTTATAATTTGCATTTATATTTTATATTTTAATTTTTATATGTCCAACCAATCGCAGGATGCACTCATAACGTATATCATTATGTAGCAACAACTACGAAAAAGACTGAGTAAATATTGAAATAAATAGTAAAGCAAAGTTAGAATGGATGAAAATTAAAAAAAATGTTTCTAGAAATACGAGCGGAATATATTACTTACAAGTAACTGTGCCTCCGCTCGGGAGAGGTAGTGGGATGGAGTTCAATCGGATAACGTTGAAATTCTTTTTTGATAGCTCCTGCTGGCTGCTACGTTTTGTAGTGACAGTAGAGCTTTCCTGTAGGGTTGTGCTACGCTGCTCGACAACGTGTTGATTTTGTTTCTGCCGTGTTTTGCGACCTCGTTGAGTTTTGTGCGTGCTATGTTCCCGATACTCCTCGGATGCCTGGAATGTCATTGAAATTGAAAAATTAGTTAACGACATTGACATCTACAATATCTTTTCGCCAATCGTAGTCACTTTAGACTACAAATAATTATACATTTTTAATGGAACAATTTGCTATAGAATAATTTATATTAAATGTATTCTTTAAGTACGTGAATAAACTGCATTTTAGTAAAGTACATTAGATAGAATTTTTTTTTTATAAAAATGCAGATTCAAAGTTATTAATAAAAACGTGAGTGACTGGATTACGACGTGAAGATGTGTTTCTGGCGACAATGGATCGCGATATCGCATGATCGATATTTTGGTGCTGGAGAAACGCCAAGTATTAGAAGCTTTTGTTTTTTTTTTTTTTTTTACAGAGTGCTAATAAAATTCTTGCGAAATCTTTGCAGGAAAAAGGAGTGCAGGAATTTTCGAAATCGGGGGAGATGGTGTACGTTACATCTCATTACGATAGAATCTACGTATTTCGATGCTGGTCACAAGCCAAAGTGCGATGCGTGTAAAGAATTTATTATGTAACCACATTCAAATTATTGCAAAATTCGTATCATCACAGGAAGCCTGCATCTATAATGAATTCGCATTAAAGCAATCGCGATTCCGCTGCAGTTAGTTCTGCTATAAATCACAAGTTACATTTAAGTTCAGTGGATTATGTTGTTGCAATAACATTTAAATCATTGATTTAATTAGAAAATAAAGCAATGTTTAAAATACATCAATATAGCTTTAATAAATAGAAAACAGTTCTGGAAATTATGTATTTTTTCATGGCCTGCAAACGTATCCTATCAAAAAGTCAATATTATATTAGGTAATGAGTTTAAAACTGTATCAATTACTTAATTTATCAAATTAGGAAAGAGAAAATTTGAGAGAAAAAAATTGTTCTTGAAGATACGTAATAATCTAACATTGTTTATAATATCAAAACTATTTAATTATCTCATATATTATATATATTAATTGTAAATCTTATTATATATTATTTTACAAGAAAAAATTATATTCTTTTCAGTTATAAATATGTAGGCAAAAACCTGTTCAAGACAATCGAATTCCGTAAACTGCCGTTGTCAATTAAGAGATACGAAATATTATATATACGAAGCCTGTTGATCATCGAGACGCAATATTGCAGCTGAAACCAAAATTAGCTTTCGGGGAGATTCTGAACGTGATACATAAATAGTCGCTTTCATGGTGCAAAATGCGACACGATGATATAAAAATAATATTATTATAAAGTATTCTTTCCTTAATTCTTACAAAAGAAAATACAAATAATAAAATAGAAGAAATAGAGACATTGAATAATCTATTTTTGAAATTGTTTAAAAATATAATTTATACATGATTCTATATAAATTACACATATATAAAGGTAGGAGATTATAATTTCATACAATAAGATTTCTAGTATTATAATAAAAATTCTAGTATTCTAGTATACCAAAAACTATTTAATCATCTTGGATTAGATATCATACGACATATATAATGTTTCCCCCTTTTGATTTTGTTTAAATTCTACAAAAGTAGGTATGTTAAAGCATTTTTTTAATTTATTCAATATTGTAAATTAATGATGCGCAACCCTTTTTTTAAAGGATTATTTTCAAAGAGCATTTTTTTCAGAAATAAGTAAAATCTTACGGGCCACATAACGTTTATTTTATATGCATAAAATAAAAAATATGATTTTATATTTTCGGCTATGAGTCGGCGGGCCGACAAGAAATTCTACACAAGTAAGCTGTATGCGACCCGCGAGCCGCAGGTTGCGCATCACTGCTGTATATTACTATTATTAATTTGGATAAATTGCAAAAGAACTTAAGTAATTTATAAAAAAAATGAGACGTTATTATTTTGTCAACTATTTCGCTCAAATCAATATCATTTCTTATTCAATTGATAATTTGTCGCGATGACTCGTATCACTCACTCAGTCCGCAAACGATTGCGATCGACACAAAACCAGCGCCATACTCTAAGCCTCCCGGAGGACCGCGGGCTTTTCCTCTCCCTTTATAAGGAATTGCTTGATTGATTGGTTGTGAATTCGCGTACCTAACTACTAACTATCAGACATCGGCTTCACCGAATTACGAGGAAACGCCCAGCTGCGTCGGTGGCCGACACGAAACTCGCGCCTCTCTGCTATCCAAGTAGTAATTCCGGGCACAATACTGAATTTCATGTACTATAATAGATGCCCAGCCCCCACTCGTACACATTACAAAAGAATTGAAGAGTACAAAGCACAATGTGGATGCCATTATGCTGTCTATAAATCTATAAATCAATTCGTGGATCATTGAAGACATTATTATAAGAAATTGATTTTTTAATAATCTTATGTGATATATTTCTAGATTTCTCCAAAATGATAAATTTACGACTCAATGTCACATAGAGTAATAAATAGTATAATCGAATTATACAATTCCATATAATCGAAATATATAGCAAATAAAATGTCAATACTTTAAATATACTTAATTAAATGTTTATTATTAAATAACAATATATAAAATCATCAAAATTGATAACACAGTCTGCAATATTTTACATACATCATATAAAGTTGCGAAATATCAGATCCGTTATCGTAATATGTATCCAACAACAGTAAATTTGGATAAATCCCAAATACAATGTCATGTTTTTGTTTACGACTAGTTCAGCTATATTAAACTGACATTAAAGTAAGAGATTCACAGTTTTCTTAATGCCCTATAAAGCATCTGCAATTATTTATGCAGCTTTTACTTGGATGTGCATCATTTTTTAAATCGTAACATATTATATATAAGAGAGATACTTTATTACTGTATTTTTTGACCAAATTAATTATATTTTCATTTATAAATGATTAAAAAATGTGAAAATGTTTACAACAATTATTTCAGAACTCGGCTTAATACCGATCCTGCAAAACGAGAAATAATAGCAAACGTCGGCGCCAGCCGTCAACAGGAATGTGTCGCACAAAGTCACCGTTGTAAATCGTGGCACGGGGTTTAATTTAACTCACGGTATTAATTCACTCCCCCGTCTCCCTTGGCCACCCACTCCGTTTCTGCTTATAAATTTGGGGAAGCTTGACTCGCACTCGAAATAGTCTAGGAGCTCTCAGTGGAGGATAAACGGTATCGAGATACGTATTGGATTTCAAAATGGATCGTAGCTTTAATATGGAGAATATGATTAATATTCCAAAAATATAGACATCTTACCAGATGTCATCTTATTAGACAATAGATCGATCGTTAAACACGTTGTACATTTCTGAATATTATTATTTATGCGCGACAGTCGCGAAGAGTTATGATGCGTGACGCTACCTGTCACTTTACTGTGCAATTCAAATTTCTCTTGACGTAAAATAATAATTTTGTCTCAAATGTGTTGTCTTAAACTATTTCCATCAATCGTGAATTGTGAAGTAAAAAATTTATTTTACGTTTTCCTAATTTTAAAATATTTATTAAAATATTTTTTATTTCCAGATGCGATGTATAGTAAAAAGACGCGAAAAAATAAATAAATGATTTAGAAAGCGTAAAGTTATTATTGAAACTGTATATCAAATAATAAAATGTAACGATTAGTAAAATTTTTAAGAAATAATTTGTGATTTCTCAAACTATTCTACTGACTGTTGGAAATAAATTATGATTGGCTATACATATTATATATCTACAACAAAGATGTAAAATTGAAAATATCACTTTAATCCACATGAACTAAGAAATGAATCACGTATCTTGAAACAATTGACACTGCTCAAGCATTGAAGTTTAGTGAGTTAATTGGGCAGGTGTCACAAAACGACACGGCGGTCGCATGAATATGCAAGCATTTATATCACCGGCATAGATCGTGTTCCAACTCATCGCGTTTCTCTTCGCGTCGAAATAATTAGATTTTAAAGCAAAGTAAAGCAACGACAAGTCAAATTTGATAAAGATGAAGATGGAAAATATAAATTTTCTAGAATACAAGAGAAAGTAGAAAAAAAATAAATTTTTCAACGATCTTTACTTAGATAGAAAGATATCTTATCTCATATATATATATATATATATATATATATATATATATATATATGTGTGTGTGTGTT